AGAGATTTATAGTGTCGTGTTTTACCTGGAATGATATTCCAATATCGTCTCCTCAGGGAATGAGAGGTCAAATATTTCAAAAGTAATTTGTAAAAAAGAAAAATGAAAAATATTGTGATTTGAATTTTGATTATTTGTGTTTTGAGGAATTTGCAAGTAGAGAAAGAGGGTTGGCTAATCCATAGAGTTCATTCCAATAAGTATGCCAAATCAATTCATTTTATTCTACCAATAGTACCTAAGTGTTTAATTGATTCGTAAGAAGCGAGAAATGAATGTAGTTGCTTGGACTGAGTATACCCCATGACAAGTCTAGAGTGTATCAAAAGTTTACAATCACATTCATCTGTACTTAACCTAATCAAACCAAACACTTTATATTACAAGGAAGGGTGAAAGATAATTGATTCCACGTATCTTATTAACATTCAATTCAAGTTGATTAAAATTTATTTATTTTTTATATATCAAAATTTGGACCGATTAAAATTCAATACGAATTGATTAAAATTTGATTCGAACTGATTAAAAATGTTTAATCGGCTTAAATTTTAATATGTAAAAAAAATAATTTTTAATCAACTCGAATTTTAATTTGTAAAAAATAAATTTTAATTAACTCAAATTGAGTTTTAATCGAACAGAATTTTAATACGTAAACAAATTTAAAAAATAGAGAGGGTCTCATTGAAGATATGCTTATCTAGAGGGGGTATGGATAAAATTTTTTTTAAAATATATCACGGACAATTTAGTAAAATTACATTATAGTTAACACTTTTAATCTAATAAGGGGTATTAGTAAAAATTTAAAAACTAAAGTGAGTGCGTTCGAGATATGATAAACTAAAAAAAAGGTGCCACTAAAATTTTGTGAAAAGAATAACTAAGCATTATTAGCTTTTCCTTTCTCTAGGATTAGAGTTCGCAGTACTCACTTTTACCAAGAATACTCAAAGGGATTGAGAACCCCATGCCAGTGGTCAATTTGTGTACAGTAGATGAAAACATACAAGCACCAGTAATTAGAGCTATTGAACTTATTTTAAATCACTCCCACACTGGACAAGACTAGGAATAATCCTAGATCCGAAAATTACAAGCTAATGAAAAAGAAAGAGAGAAAAGAGTCTAATTTGACTATTGATTTGCAATTTCTCACATACATAAAAGTCTTTTCGCTCCTAAACCACCATACTAACTGTGGCAATTGTCATCTATCTTGAACTTACCAAGTATACAGAATCACATGTAAAAACCAACCAAAGCACACAAACAAAATCCAGAAACTCCAGAAGCATCAATGCCTTAACAAAGGTAAATTCCCAAGAAAATCACCACCATTGTCTTGAAGATTGTCCTCAAAGTCAATGCAAAATGGAGAGGGTAAGTTCCTAAAACAACAAAAGTATGGCATACCGTTATGTTTTGTTTTACAATAGCAAAGCACTTACCTGAAATTTTGAGGANTGTCTTGAAGATTGTCCTCAAAGTCAATGCAAAATGGAGAGGGTAAGTTCCTAAAATAACAAAAGTATGGCATACCGTTATGTTTTGTTTTACAATAGCAAAGCACTTACCTGAAATTTTGAGCATCACAAGATTGCAAACCAGGTTCTCTGTTAACCTTACAATGTGTAGTTCATTTAAATTTTCCCATAACTATTCATAGCTAATGTAGAAAACTGTGCCTAACCTGTCATTTTCCAGTCCCAACCTTCCCCTCCTGCAAGTAGTTTACAAATAGTTTCGTCAACCAAAAATCAGAATCTGCACCATGATCTTTAAGCATATCTCAGTCTTAAGCATTATTGGAGACAACCTTGATAGACCATTTCTCCGATATCTGCCTAAAATAATAGGAAACATAGAACTACTAATACGTCATTTGGAGTACTTTGATGTACCAAAAGAAAATGACACCTTATCAACCAAGAGTGATAACTGAAAAGTACGGGGTCATAGAACTCGAGGTCATTGATACTTTAGCTGGTCATAAAACTTGAGGTCGTCGATACTTTCCAGATGATAAGACATACATGTAGAGGGGTATCTTCGATTTCTTAATCCTCATGAAAAAAAAAACCATTTTAAAATCTTGGTAGAGGACCGTATAGACATCTTCTTCCATTATCTTTGTGGCATATACATAATACACTTTCAAATTGCATGTTATAATAGAAATAAGATAAGAAACAACAATGAATTTTTCAGGAAACATCCAAACAGTACTAATAATTTCATTAGCCATTGATGAGTGTACATGCTCATCTGTTGCAACTTTTGGCAGATTTTGTTGCATATAGTTTCCCATCTTCAAGTTCGACCCACCTAATCATTCATTTTGTTGGTGCCTCATTTCAATGGTGCTTCTTAGAGGTTTATAGCTTCGTAATATTTGTTCAATTTGTGTAAGAGTTCTTCCAACTTTGTTATTCTACACATTGCATAGAAGTTTCATGTTCAGCAAACAAGAATTAAACCTAGATTTACCCATTAACATCCCATTTGCCCTAGCACCAATAGGAACAAAATATAACATGTTTTGGATAAAGGGGAACAAGGAGAAGAAATAATGGTCTTCAATGACAAGTTACAAATTATACAAGAACTTAAACTAAAGCACTAGAGGATAAACAAAACAAACAAATGTCATATTAACAGGGTGAACAAAGGGTAAATCCCATTGTGTCCCCTAAAAGATAAAAAAATTCTCTATTTGCCTCTCGATTAATTTTTTCATATTATCTCCTCAAATAAATAAAAAGGTTACAATGTGGTCCATCATCTTATTTTCGTTTAGTTGTCCGTCTGTTTTGTGATTCTTGATTGATTGGTGCAAAATTTGCAAAAATTAAAAATAGTTCAAAATGCACACATCATCTGATCCATCAGTCAATGCCATTGAAACATAATTATGGCATAGATTTAGTAATGTATGTTGGAGGATTGAACTTGAAGTTTGAAGCCTTTAAGCAATTATATGTACAGAGAACACTTTCGTTGTTTGAAGGCATCTGAATTTTAAACCACCATATCCACAATATTACAATCTCACACAGTTGGGATAAAAACCATATGGAAGTCGAAAAATAACTTTTTGACCTGATGCTTAATTTTTGTTTAATTAAATTTGAAATTAATATTTGCCAGAGATGAGTCTCATTCAAAAATATAGAGCTTATTAGAACTAAGCCAACATTTGCATAGATGCAATCAATGAAACCTGAATTGTCCTAAGCTTGAAGGTGCAATACGAGTGTGAATGATATGGCTTTGATGTTNATGAGTCTCATTCAAAAATATAGAGCTTATTAGAACTAAGCCAACATTTGCATAGACGCAATCAATGAAACCTGAATTGTCCTAAGCTTGAAGGTGCAATAAGAGTGTGAATGATATGGCTTTGATGTTTGCTCTCCTCCCTTCAATGACACTTTCAGATCTTCAATCTTGATAGTATGATGACCGTGGAATACATTGAGATTTATAATAGACTTCATGAAATTAGTCAATTACAAATGTATATCTAACGGTCATCTTGAACATTAAAGGGTGTTGCTCAAGAAGGCTTCGATAATGACTCAAATCTATATTTTCAAAACATAAAGAGATTTACAAAAAATATTTTTGTTTTGAATAACACCTAAGAGCNAGATTTATAATAGACTTCATGAAATTAGTCAATTACAAATGTATATCTAACGGTCATCTTGAACATTAAAGGGTGTTGCTCAAGAAAGCTTCGATAATGACTCAAATCTATATTTTCAAAACATAAAGAGATTTACAAAAAATATTTTTGTTTTGAATAACACCTAAGAACAATACTCAGATCAATTACAGATTCCATTTTAATATTAATCCTCATAAGTCTATTAAACTAAAAGATCATCTTAAGTCTAGGTTATTACATTGTCTTAAGCAAGATGGTATATACAGAGTGCTTTTGATGGAGTTTTGACACATGATCTTCTCCCTTCAATTTGACTATTTCAGTTTTTTATCGTTGCAGCATCATGACCATGAAATAAGTTGAAATTTAGATGGACTTCAAGAAATTAATTAACTTCAAACATACGATATGACAATTTAGTATGATTGTAAGCAACCATACTATACACCTACTACCTTGGGTTCCAAGATGTAACAAATGGATGGCATCCTCCTCGCTAATCCAATCGATAGCGTCATCATGTGGGCACCCTATAATATCACCAAATTTGCCAATTTCTCCATTCACCCAACACTCTGCATTTGAAAGCGGTTAAGCCTATTTTATGCTACATAAAAGGCTTTNCTAATCCAATCGATAGCGTCATCATGTGGGCACCCTATAATATCACCAAATTTGCCAATATCTCCATTCACCCAACACTGAGCATTTGAAAGCGGTTAAGCCTATTTTATGCTACATAAAAGGCTATTTTGGTCCAGTAGTTCCATTTGTCCTGGCCCTATATCATCACTTACAGACTTTTTTTGACGTTGATCGAGCTGATTGTCCTATTACTCAGCGATCGACCACTGGTTTCTACATTTTCTTAGGCCCTAATTTTGTGTATTGGGGCTCTAAGAATCAACCCACAATCTCTCGATCGAGCACCAAAGCTTATAAGCTTCATATCTACAACAAGATCTTCATGCTACTCCATACTTACCTATGGATCGTCACACATGACTGCCAATCTAATTTTACATGCTCCTACAGAATACATTGAAATTGACTTCCATTTTGTTTGGGATCTTGTCATCAAGGGTGCTTTTCAAGTTAAATTTATTCCATCTATATCGTGCTGATATTTTTACAAAGGTCCTGCCAGTACAAACTTTTATTAGACATTTTTCCAAATGGACCCAACTGTGCCAGCACAACGTCGTCATATTTACCAAGACCAAACCATGTCGATACATCATCAGTGAACGTCTTAAAATCAACATGGGTTTTTGAGGTCTCGTAGCTTGGCTTCCAAATGAATGGAAGCAATATCAGCCTTGTCTTATTCTGTAATATTGTTGAAACTGAAGAATTGTTTGCATCGATAGATCAAACCTTTCGGGTTGTCGCCATCAAAATAGGGAAAATCAAGTCTTGCATATTTCGTACGAATCGCGTCTCGACTGGAGTGGTTTCTTGATCCGAAATGACTGGAGACTTTGATATGTTCTCCCTCACTCGTTCGACTAGCCAACTGACCATATTGACGTTCATTGCTCCCACCAATTGTGGTACTTCTAGCACAGCAACTTCTTGCCTGTCGAAGCTTTCTCCTAGATCTCATCCATACTTCTTGAGATCTAGTCCCTTCTGCCATAAACAATGGATAACAGGGCAGAAGCCTTGTAAATGACCAAGAAGAAGATAACAAAGAAATTAAGTAAATTCTAACCTCAAGCGGAAACCTTCCAATTGAACCAATTACACAAATTCTCAAAGCCTGACCCTCCTCCTAAGTTGGCCTTATAAAGGCTTACAAGACAAACTTTACTCCTAAATTATAGCTACCATCCCTTTGATTTCCGGAAAGTGAAAGATGTATTAAAGAAGCTTAACAAAACAAAGTTACAACACAGTAACAAACAGTAGCATATATACAACACAACAGCAAAAAAACAAAAGGTAGCAGAGATGCAACGCAAAAGAATTTATGGGGACCATCCCTTTGATTTAGCAGCTCTTGCTATAATAAAATAGCTTTACTCCCATACTGGAACAGAATCCTCTCCTCAATCAAACCAATAATCAATCGCTGGCAAGAATCCTGCTCCCAATTAATCACTTCAAGAATCCCACACCAAATCAATCATCTTTATCCTTACCTTCCATGTACCTATTAGAGAGAGAGAGAAGACGGCTAGCGAGATTGGTCACATGAGAAACTGTTTGGACATATCGCCTGAATTATAGGAGAATATGAAGAGAGAGTTTCAGTCACCTGTATAATTAACAAAATAGTGACTATTTACCTTCGAAGAATTAGCACCTAAGCTGACCGCTTTTCCAAGAGAGAGAGAAAGAGAGATTTGCATGGGTATGCAACTTGCAAGAGACAGAATGTTTTGAATGGGTTCGTTCTAGGATAAAAATATATTAATTGTATTATTTAAGGTGAAAAAATAAAATAAATTTTTTTAGAGTTGATCAGAATAAATATCTATACTACTTATAAAAGCTCACTAAACTATAAAAACTTTTATTTTTCTATTACAACCCTAACTAATTCTATAATCTCAAATTTCATCCATCATAAATAATTGTTTATTTCCTCATTGAATACATCTTGAATATAACTGTGCACTTAACATTGAATTTACCTATACATTGAATATAACAGTACATCCATTAAGTATCCTATATCAGTTACAAAGCCAAAAACACGCATGCAATTGAACCGTTGTTTAGTGACTATCGCTTCTTATTCTTCTTCTTTGGTTGGTTTGCTTCTTCACATTTATCCCCTTGCCATTGTTTTTATAATTTGTTTTTTTTTATTAAGAGGTTTAATTGTGGTGAAATTCAGTGAAAATTTTCGACACCAACTTCCTGTTGAAGTGCTACGAGATAGTGCATGGTCAGTCAATGACCATGTTAATTTCTTGGAGTAAAAACAATGACAACTTTATCGTTGTGGATGCTGCTTTGTATTCGAATGAATTGCTTCGAGCACAACAACTTTTCTAGCTTTTATAGGCAACTCATATATGTGAGCTTTTTTCCTTCTTTAAATATTATGTGTAGTTTGGTTCTATATAATTAGTGTATTTTAATTATTTTGGATTGATATAGTTGTTATTTTTAACTGGCTATTGGTAGAAAAATTTTCTAGCAAGTAGAAAGTGATAGAGAATCTTAAAGGGGTCATCACTAGGTTTTGTTTGCCTTTTTTAGATATCAAGAACTTTTATTCTCTCGCATTTCTCCATTTGTCCTTTTAGGTTCCCTGTAGATTTCCTTTAGATGTTGTATTTTGTTACCATACAAAGTAGTGGTAGGCCTACTTTTGCTCATCTAATGAACATGATGCCAGAGATGGATAGACTTATTACAGGTGGAAACTAAGATTGTTAGCGTATTATGAATAGTAGAAAGACTTATTCAATCACTTGTTAGGTTGTTGAGACATCCAAGAAAAGAAAGGAATAAAAAGAAAAACAAAAATGAAGTCTAATTTTAATATTTGATACCAAGATAAGGAAAATGCATCTGGTAGGCCAGAAAGTTGGTTTATGCTCACTGTAAGGAACTTGATTATAATGTATCTTGCAAATCACATTTTGAATCAATGAAGTTTTTTTTTTGGGTGAGTGAATCAATGAAGTTTGTTTTCTAGGCTCAGCTACTTTATTTTGGCGGTAAAATTGGTTACAATATTACTTTTCTCATTTTCTTTACTTCTGTTTGAAAATTTTGGCTATCGTCAAGAAACAAATTAGATGTTTGTTTCCAGCTTTACTTGATTTTATTTGTCTTAAGTCTCATTTGCATAACAATTAGGGAACTCGAAATACATTCATTGTATTGTAATACTACAAAAGGGATGATCATTCAAAATGTATCCAACAATGCCAATGAAAAATCTCTGAAGCCACTACAAAAAGCTTTATGCAGTAACTGGGCGTGTAACCCACAATATTATATTGATACTTTTCTAACTAGATATTGAAAAGATAATTGTCCTTCTTTGTGGGTTTTTTTTGTAGTCTTTGCATTTACCCATTTTTTGAGTAATTTCTACAAAATGATGATGAGTATGCAAACCATTTTAGGAGGATGAACCCACTTTGGTGTTATGTCGAATCTCTTCATATTCTCTTATAAAAGATATTGTTCTTGAATTGGTCTAGGTTTTTGAGTTGTGGGTGAGCATATTGGTTGAAGTACATATAAAATCCTGAGATTTTGTGGTACTATGATGAAGTTTTGAAAGCTATCACTTTTCTTTACTTACACTCGAGGCTTGTTGGAGTTCCGGGTGAATTATTCTGAAAATAATGCAAGTTATACAGATTTTTAGTTCTTTTTTGTTGATCCTTCTTTTCAAACACATTCATCTTTCCACTATTGTTTCTATCAAGAAAAGTTCCCGAAGCATGCACTAGCCACAATTAGGGCTGTTAAATGATTCGGCCAAGCCACTCACGATTGTAAACGGTATCATTTTTCCCCTAAATATCTAGAAGACTCCACCCTATTACATATATGGCTCGTTTGGTAGACGTATTATGAGAGGATTAAATATTAGATTGTATTATTTTTTATTTAATCGAGTCTAATACTTTGTTTGGTAATCAAATTTGATATCGCATTAATTTCAAAAATGTATATTAATCGTATATTTATCGTATATTTTTTATACGATAGAATTGTATTATAGATGTATTTTAATATCATCAAGAGAAGTGATATTGTAATATCACTCAAACGTATTATTCTACACATTTACTATTATAACCCTCCAACCGATAAAAATAAACTGTCATCAATTTAACAAACATTGATAGAGAGTATTTTTGTTAATTCAACACTAATGAANTTATCGTTCCTCTCTCTCTTTTGTGGTTCTCCTTTTTTTTTTTCTTTCATTCCTACTTTTTTTGTTTTGCCTCCATGGAACTCTTGCTCAGCAACACTTTTCCAAGTCTATGTTTTTAGATCTCCAATCTCCACATTTGATTCACCACCACCGCCATCTCCTTTCATAACTCAAAATCCTAAATCTAATCACCGCCCGTATAATTTCAACAAGTAGCTAATCAAGTCCTCAAAGGTCATTCGGTGTATGTTTATGGTGGTAACTGGTAAATTTTGTCGTGTTTTTTAATGTTTTGATGTCTAGGGTTGTATTTAGATTTTAATTTTTGTACATTTCATGTGCAATTTGTAAATTTAAAGCTGANTCTTGGGATCTTTGAGTTTTGTTACCCAGCTTCACCTCTTTGCAAGCGGTTATGTGGGATTCGATCCGTGACTGAGCCGAAGATCAGACGGTTAGTACGGTCCAGTGAGGTCAATTTCTAGTATGATTGTTGGTCGGGGGATTATCTGTTGGCTTTAGTGTGTTCGGGGCTAGCTCTTGGGATTCTTGTTTCTACTTACTGGGCAGGTCGGTAGTGGGACGGAGGCCGATTGTTGGGGGTTTTGCCTTCTTCAGTTGTTGAGCAAACTGTGCAGATTCCAATTTTGGATCGAGGGTTAATCAAATGAGGTGGAGTATGTCTTTGAATGGGGATTTTCCCTTGAAGACTACTTGGGCTGATATTCGAGGTGTGACTCTAGTTCGGGCTAGGTTTTCTTGTGTCTGGCAGAGGCATATTCTGACATAGATCTCCTTCTTTATGTAGCGGTTGTTTTATGGTTTCCTGGCCACAGATGATGGCTTAGAGAGACGGAGTTTCCATGTAGTATCCCAGTACGTGGGTGGTGGGGCTGTTGTGACTATTAGGCATCTTTTTTTGGATTGTCCGTCTGCAGTTCAGGTGTGGGGTCACTTTTATCGGATGTTTGGGCTTAGATCTTGGTTGTTTCAGTCTCCTTATGCTTTGTTGGCAGTGTTGTGCTCCTTCTGCAGGTCACGTGCGGGGTACTACTACCGTGCTTCATTCTGTGGCACCTATGGAAGGCGCATAATGCTTATAGGTTTGATGGCCGGGCCTTTCAAGTTCATGTTATGGTTCAAAGGGTTATGGCCGATATGCAGTTGGTTGGACTTACTTTTTGGTTTGCTTCGAGTCAGTTGCGTCGAATGAGTCAGTTGAGTTTTTGGGTTCTGTTAGGGTCTTGGTTCCTCAACCTCGGCCTCTTCATTTGGTTGTTTGGACTCGTCCTGTACTAGGTTGCCAGAAGATTAGTGTTGACGGCTGTTCTAAACGCAATCCGAGGCTGTCTGCGGTAGGGGGTGTTATTCGGGACCACCAGGGTTGGGTTCTCAGGGTTTTTGGCTTGTTTCTAGGGCATCAGCCTATTCTGTATGCGGAGATACAGGCTATTTGTGTTGGGTTAGAGTTGGTCGCAGATTTGGGAGGTTTAGAGTTGGTAATGGAGTCAGATTCAACTACACTGATTTCTTGGGTTTCTTCTCAAGGTACTGGGTGATGGGTTTATGCTTATCTGCTTACTCAAATTCAGATTTTGTGTGCTTCTCTCTCGGCTCGCGTATGCCACGTCCTGTGGGAGGCGAATCAGACTGTCGACTTCATGGCTAATTGGGCTTGCTCTCAGAAGATCAACCAGTGATTTCCTAATTCGTCATCCCTTCCTTCTGGGATTGATGGCATCCTCGCCTTGGATGCTCGATAGACTCCTAACGT